AAAGTTCAAAAAAGGAGGAAGAAACAAAGAAAAGACAAAGAGATTGGGATTTGCTTTGCTAGGACTTGCAAATTTAAATGTTTAAAAGTATTTTGAAGCCATCAAACACTAAAAGTAAGACCCCTAAGCTCCTTCCTGCCTTCCTCTTTCATTTTCTCTAGTTGTGGAAGCTAGGGTTTGTTTGGGATGATATTTTTGGCCCATAATGGGTATGAGTCCAAATCCATTAACTTAAAAAGTTATTTAAGTTATTTAAACTAGCATTTGTGACCCTATAGGTTTTTGTGGTTGAAGGTAATTAATACTAAAAATGTTGCACTTATTATGGTTGTTAGAGGTATTTGATAGTCATTAATGATGCTTTAGTGGTTCATTTAAATTAGTGTGAGCCCAAAGAAGCCAATAAACTTGATGGGTAGACTTGTGAGGAACTAGAGTTTTAAAAGATTTGGAAGTATTGAGTTAAATGTTGGGAATTATCCTAATAGGGATATTAATGGTCATTGATATGGTTGACTTGTAGACTAGCTGTTCTTAGCACCATTTGAGCTAATTAAGGCTTTGGAAGCGTTTGTTATTGAGAGATAAACCTTTAATCTTTTAAAAGTTTGGGATAACCAAAAAATATTTAATTTGTATATTTGTTTGTTAATTAGTTATATATGATTATTTTGGAAACATGTATTAAATGCAAATGTGGCATAAGTCATTGGTTTGTCATGGTAACATGATTATGTAGGTGATGCATTGGTATATGATTCGTTAGAGCATAAACACGATAATGTGCATGAAAAGCATGATGTGATGTGAACGAGATTAAAGAAAATGTTGAGATTGTTAAAGGTGAAAAAAGCTATGGTGAGGAAGTTGTGATAGTAAATTTGATAATTGAATATGCATAACATGAGTTTAATACTTAAGAACTTGTAAATCAAGAATAGATATATAAGTGTATGCATATTATGAGTTGTGTATATATGCATTGCATGATCATTACAGTGGGAGTTCACTTAAAGAGAAGAGTAAACATTTTTAAATCCAAGTGGTAAGGTCACTATTCAAATCAATGTTTTGAAACTCAGACCGGATATCGAACCAGAAAGAGCAATGGGTCACAATTTTTATGGTCTAACCGGTTAGACCGGCGGTCGAACCGGTGATATAAAAAATAATATTTAGATGTGTAACTATATAAATAAAATATTAATTTTTGGATAGTGCTTGGGATCTCAACTCTAAAAGCTAGATGCTTGGACTGTTGGAGTTAAAAGTAGAGGCATGTCGGTATAAGCTTGTGATCTCGAAGAAAAATGCTGGAGCTGGAGGCACGCCATCATGTCATGACTCACAAGCTTTCGATCTCGATGCCAAAGGTTGGATCTCTAGAACTGGAGGCAAAGGTTAGAGATTAGAGAAGATAAGAAAAGAGAGAATTAATGATTGGAGAAGAGAAATTGTAAATCGAAGCAACTTAACCTAAATTTTGTAAAATTTGTTCGGCTTTGAACTGAGTTGACCCAACTTTGGTTCCTGGGTCAAAGCTGGTTCTCTCAAAACTAGACGGTTCAATGTGGGTCAACTCGAGTCAAATGCCAGATTGGTTCAATTGGTTGAACCAAACAGTTTTGTTCAACGGGTGGCGGTCGGACCATCCGGTTCAGTTTCAACAACACTGATTCAAAGCTCGATGGCTTGCTTCTATTTATTTGTTGTCTAACTTGTTATTCAAGGGACTGTCTCACTTGTTCACTAAGGGACTCGAACCTAATTAGTTTTCACTTATTTACAAGAAGGCTGATTTAAGGGTACAACATTCCATTGTTGTTAATACAACAAAAAATCATAACTCACAAGTGAGTGTAATTATCTTAACCAAGCAACTCCTTACAAGTGAAAGGCTTGGGTAGTTCGATCACATGGACGAATCTCACTAAATAGCCAACGATTTCATATCGAAGGTATAATAAGAATATAAAGATAACATTCATCATGTATATCATATTTTGGCTACATGATTGTTAGTATTATGATCCTCACATATTACAAAGTCCACGTCATATATTTGTTAGTTTTGTGACTATATGAATTGTATTTTTTTGAGTATGTGAACATTTTTAGTTGAAATTGTGACTTACATCATTATAATTAATAATCATGCATTTATATAGGTTAGATTAATCTTGATTATTGAGTGATTGTATCTACCCTCTCTCTTCAATTTTAGAGGTGCTAGCTCATCGGGTGAAGACAAAGGGAAATTGCTAGAGGCATAGGACCATTTGTCCTAGCTTGTAGGCCTAATTTATTTTAAGTAATTATGTGTATGATTTTGATGATGTTGTCAACTAGGAGTTGCATTTATTTTGTGATTGCTTGCACTATATATTGATTTAAGTTAAGATGTATCTTGGGCCTGATGTTATATGTATGGTTAATTTTACTTAGACAAGACCAAAATACTAGTGTAAATATGATATTGATGATAATATTGATTGTAAAGGAGTATTGTTGCACTTCATAGTAAATTTATCCCCTTTTTATTTTCGTGATCAAAGGTCATAGGTTTGTATTATTAGAATATTATGGTGTATTGCACGGGTCGCTTGTAATTTATTGAGTATGATTTGGAGGTATTTGTAAGTTTATGAAACTTGGCATCAAATTGGGACACCATAGTGGAGTTTAAATGTTAAAAGGAGTGTGTTTGTAAATGTGTGCCCGACTTCTGAATAAAAAATGATTTGATAGTTGGATCAGTGCCATTAGCTAGTATTCTAAATGAATTTTCTGTATATACTTAAATTATTTCAATTGAATATTGAATGAATAAATAGGGCGTTTGAAAGTTTTTTTCAAATGCTGTTATTTTCAAATGTTGAAAATGTATATATTTAATAAGAATAAAATTAAAAATTTACTGAATTTTTAAATAGAGTTAATGAGATTTAAGATCTTTAATTTTGGTGAAAATATTAAAAATAATTTATAAATAAAAACAAAGATATTACGTTGAATCTGGTGTATTGGAGATCCCCTTTAATGTTGGAGGACACGACATTAATGGGGAATAAGGGACAAAGAACATTAAATTAAAGTATAGGATACTATTTATTATGGAAAAATAGCATATCTAGTAATTATATAAAAGGGATACCACAATCACTTTGTAGCCGTAAGCAGTGTTGTTAACGTTAAGATGCATCGAACACCAGGGGCGCAGGGGACCACCCCACTTGCAATTAGTATTTGCTATGAGGTGTTACTGTGAAGTTAAAATTTTGATTTGATTAAATGACGTTGCTGGGGTTTTTAAAAGGAGTCGGAATCTTATGGAAGAACGCACACACAGAAGAAAAGAAAAACACAAAGCAACAAAAGAGAAACACGGCTGCTTAGGGAAACATCAACACAACACTACAACAGTATGTCTCGGGCTTCTCGATAATCACTTTGAATCCCTGGTTCAGCGGTGCATGCACGTATAAAACAAAATAAAAAATGATTATTTGAAATGACATAAATATTAAAAGGCTTGTCTTTTAATCTTTTCCGCAGTTGAAGGGTTTAGAATATTTAGTGGCCAAGCGGTGCCTTGTTATTCAAAACAATTTGAAAGCTTTATGAAAAATACAGTGTAGGGAGAGAATGCAGGGAATATGGGGGTACGTAGGCGAGTGTGGATGAGATAAACAGAAAAGGGAAGTGAGATATCTTATGGCATGTATGATCTATGAAAAGGCTACCAGACTCCCAATCCCAAATCCAAAGGGAAAGACTAAAGAGCAGCTACGTCCGTGCGGCGCATGGCAATGGGATTCTTTTCACTCCCATTCCACGCTTGCCCTTGGAATTCGTTCACAAATAATATTCTTTTCCTCACCATTTAAAAAAAAAAAAAACGTACTAAAGGTTGGTCCTTGAGTGGGCTGCTTCGTATGTAAACATAAACACAATCTGGACTACTCCACCAGAAAGGCCATGCAATTCATTGCAATCCAATTCGACTATGCTACTGCACCTAGTAGCATAGTCCACATTACGGGGTTCGTAACATGACCGATGCAACGCATAAGCACGGCATAGCCCAAAAAAAAAAAAAAAAACCGTTATTTCCAATTTCCAGCACACCATCATCAATTAACAATCCGACCATGACCACCTGTTTGATATCTATATGCTTAACTTAAGATTTAAGTAAATTCTATACAAGTTACCCAGTCTGACGACACTATCACTGTCCAACAAAATAATATCCAACACATTCCTTTATTAAGAACAGTAAACTGTGAAACAAATCAAATTTGAACTTATAAATTCAAGAGAATAACCTCACCTTTTATTCAGTTACACGTAAACTTATATGTTAACATGTAAAAACTTGTATGGTTCAATCTTACAGAGAACTAGGAGGGGGGCATGTACAATGAGCAGTTTAATTGAACCATGAAGAAACGATGAATGAAACCCTGATACAAGGTATGCACAGCAAAAGATTTAAAAAGAAAAAAAGAAGATATATAACTGTAAATTTCCATCCAGCTAATCCGTGGGCATTGTATAAAGGAAGCTTCTCCTGGAGTGAAATAGACACTTGCCACAGGCGTCTGAAAGGAGCACAGGAAGTCAGAGCTTGCAGCCACGAAATTGAGAGAGTATAGCACACTAACACACAATTCTATCAGGTTAGGTAGAGGAAATATAAAATCTAATTTGAATGGAAAAGGGGAGAAAAAAAAATAAGAAAAGGAGGATTGGAAGCACTGATATCCTTACTTCAGAAAAATAATAAGAGACCGATACTGATAAATAATGACATGTGCATGCAATGGACATTGTACACTAAAATACTCGTAATTTTTTCGGGATATTTTTGTCCTATCTCTTTGCTTGGTCACACACAACACACTGTCATACCCTAACCTTCCAGTTAATAATCTGATATTACACAGCAGTTTCCTTGATTCCTAAATTGAGAATATACCTGATCGTATAGAGAGATTGCAACTGATTCTATGACTGGGAAAGAGAGACGTTTGGAGTTGATGCTTCTAATCCTTGTTGACCGTGCACAGCAGACTTTAATACATTATATTGCTCAGTCACAGAATTATACAGGGCTTGTGTGTATGCCTCTTTAGCCTGCACCATGTAAAACCCACATAGTTTCATCCAAATCAACCCCGTATGAAGCTCCTTGGAGGCACAACTAAAGATTCTTTGGGCCAACTATGCAAACTATACTTTTCATACAGCATGTGAAAAGAGGCGATATACCTCAACCAGACAGATGCGGTCACTTGCAATCTTAGCCTAAAACCTTTCTTGTTTTTCACAAGATAGCCGGAGTTTGTAAACAAGGGGGGGCAAACACAAAAAATTTGTGATATACAAATATGAATAGTTGTGAGATATGTGTACCAACATGACTGCCGGTGCCAACTAATGCTAGAGGAAAGGATGTTAAGAGATTTACATTATCTGCAACAAGCAAGTCACTTAGAAATGGAGCCATACTCATTCTTGAGCGCTCATGAATTGGATAGAATGGTAATCGTTGATTTGTCAAAAAGAAAGTAAGTGTAATGACAAAGTAATAAATGTGACTAGTCAAATTCAACTAACCATTTCGGGACTTTCACAAGCACCAGCAGTTTCAGAGAAGCTTATCTCTGGAGCCACTGATAATCCAACCCCATGGAAGGAGATAACTCTTTTCTCTCCTATCTCTTTTTCTACCTGCAAAACTATATGGATTCAGTAAGACAAACAATGAAACATCAATGGGGACTCTTAAAGCCAAGGATGCCATACCTGAGGAGGAGGGGGCATTATATCATAACATAATAATGCCAAAGGATACATATGACCCGGTACACCCGAATTTTCAACAAGCCTTCTCATGTTATCTACTGAAGAAGCATCAAAGGGTGCCTGAATGTTTCTTATCAGTATAAAAAGCCCATAACATTGGTAATATTCCTCATCTCAAACAATCTGAGGTACACCAAAATAGAATAGAATAGAATACTATGTCTCACAACCTACCGGAATCCATTCTCCTTTGAGGGGATCTGGTCGATCTCTGCCACCACTTGGTGCAATCCAAATTATCTGCGAGCCACTCCTGTACCAAGAGGCAATATGCTATAAACAGTACAAACAGATTATGTAATCTAAATGGAAAAATAACTAACGTATTATAATCCTTTAAAAAAGTCCCACATTTAAAAGTGATAAGAAAAATGAAGGGCATTTAAACTTGCAGTGATCCTAACCATATAGTTTAAGCTATTTTGGTAAAATGGATTAGCCCAAGCACAAGCCCATTTTGGGTGCTGGATTGATGGTAGTGATGGACCCGGCTTCATTTTCTTCAGGCCCATAAAAAATAAACAAAAGGAAATATGGAACCAGTAGACACACCTTAAAAGCATAGCCATTTCCTTCAAACTTCGTGTATTTGCTTTTCTTTTCGTTTCTATGAGTTCTGGAACATCGTTCATGTGCTTTTTAGAGTAAACACAAATCAAATTCCTAAAAACAGAAATAGAAAGTCAACACAAGCTTAGCTTCATTCATCCAGGAAAATATATGAGCATGAATCTTGACGTAGATGTTAAGAACAATGAAGAAAACCTGCCCATGCTGAAGGGTTTACATAGAGGGTCGGTTAAAACTCTATCTCCTGCTACATAAGTCTGCAAGACAAAACAGAGAATTTGATAACTTCAGCATTCTAAAAGCCCAATATAGCCTATGGGTGTGTCAGAAATAACGTTAAGGTGCCATCAAAATCACATTCAGGCCAAAGCAACCCAGAGGCTGCTTCAGCCAAAATTTTGTCCCCAGCCAAGGAAATTCCAAACATGCATTACATTGTTTAAAATAGAGAGAGAATAAAAATTGAATATTTACCAAGTTTTCAGCAATATATGGAAATGACTTTTCAATTAGCAAAGCAATAACTGCAGGATCTGCTTCAGTTTGATGATTCGACATCAGGATAATATTGTGTCCCTGCATTAAGTTTTTCAGCTTCTTAGAATTGCCCCCTACAATTATAAATGTTAAGAATTTAATGGCAGGATATTGCATGCATGCAGAAATGCCAACCTTGCGATTGAAAAAAGAAGACAGGATATAAAAAAAGAGCGAAAAAAGATTAGATTTTCTATTCTTTTCACATACTCTATTTTATTAAAAAAATTAACACAAATATTATCAATGTTTCGGGACAAGCAAAGAAACTAAAAAATAATCACATTATATAAAAATACATGTTAAACAGTAGCACCTGTTTAAGTTTCTCTTCCATTTCATAGAAAAGGGAAACGTTGCCAATGTATGAATTTCTGCACCCAGGCAAAAATATCACATTAAAAAAAAAAGAGTTATCTCTGAATCAAATTGATTCGGCTGGTCCATTTTTTCTGTTTTTTGTTTTATATTTCCATATCTATATTGTGGCAAAATGTCCAATAATATCAGATATACGAAGACAATCTATAAATGAAAATTTAAAGAATCATTTACGTACACATCCAACAACTTCCTTTTTCTTAAAACTAGACTAACAAATATCAGATGAAGAATGAGTGATGAAGCTATCAACTAACCTGAAATCAATTAAAGGACGAATATAATTTTGACCAAATAGGTAGTAGTCAAACGGCTCTCGCTTTGCCTTATGATGTGATTTAAAGACAAAAGGATCCTGGGGAAAAACAAAATAATGTTTTTAAGTTTGATGTTTGTACGAAATGACAAATTTGGCAAACTAAATGTGATTATATGTCAAGTCCTAGTGAAACATGCCTTTAATACAAAATTATAGTAGTATAAAGCAAAGACAACAAGTACACACATTCCAAGAATCCAATCTTACCACAACATCCATAAATATGCGGTCTAAAAAAGTAGTCATATTTGATAATACAATCTCATCTGCTCGGGGATCCCCACTTCGAAAAACCTGAAACGTGATTGTTTCCCAAAAAAGGTATCAAGTCCCTAACTCACTTAAATGCTAGAAATATATATTTAAAGAAAAAAAAGGCATTAAACATCAAATTGCACAATCATAAGTTAAATAAAAATAAATAAATATGTTTTGATTGCCAGAAAGCGCATCCACATCGACACTTAAAAGCCCATGTAAGCTAAAAGAATATTTTTCAGATAAGGAATAAAGCAAAAACGAATAGAGATTTAATGAGAGGAATGCAAAAGTTCAAGTGCTACACAAGTATGATATAGCTAATGCCTTGACAAAATTAAATTGTTAAGTTTTAAACACCCACAAGAAGAAGAGTAAAAGACCTCGAGGCATGATTGGATATTCATATTGATTTCTGATCTCTACCAACATGTTTTTTTTTTAAAAAAAAAAATACTAGAACAATGTCAACTGTCAACACCGAATTGTAAAGAACACCAGAAACATTAATCCTGAATTACCGTGTTTTACTTCAACAATTAAAGTTATTCCAAAGCAAACACAAAATGAAATGTCCACGTTTCTATAGAGAGGTCATCTATCATATACACCCACCACCCACATAACTACATAAGAACATATCCAATGAATATAAACTTACTGCATTTTTGTAGTTGTGATACACATCTTCCATAGCTGAAGCAACATTAGAAGGTAGAAATCCTCCTTCTGCTTCCTTCCTGATTCCAGACAGAAGCTCTGCAAATGTACAATTAACAACATGCAGGGAAAACAATTTTTTAGGATTGATGTAATTTTTTAAAAGAAAAAAATGTACTGGGTAAGAGGAGTGCAGGCAAGCACAAAAAATCCAATGCTTCTGCTGCAATATGACACACCCACGCCATCTGGCGTCTTATGCTAGTTTTAGCTATATTTAATAAATACACGCGAAACAGAGTCAATTCTCTATCCCAATTTAGTAAAGCGTTAATTTATAAACTAACAACCCACATTATCAAACTTCAAAATCCTAGTTTTCTGGTCAATTTAATCCGAAATTTAAAAAAGATCACAAATAGTAACGAAAGAACGACAAAAATGTTGAGAGACTCGACAGTCGACGCTATGCGTTCCAAAAACAAAAATTGGTAAATTCTATATTAATTTATCTTCAACCGACTTCTGATCTTCTCATAGGTTTAACTAACTGTAATACACCGATAAACTCAGATAAACAGAAGTCAGGAGCAGAGTCAATTCTCTATTCATTTTTGTTGCTTAAAAAAAAAAGTCTCTATTCATTTTCTAAGGAGTCAAACTTCATGATCCTACCTTTCTGGCGCACTAAATCCAGAAATCGCCAAAAAAGAGGGCAAATAGTAACGAAAGAACAAGAAAATTTGAAATTCTAAACGCTATTTTATTTCGTCTCTAGCTACAAGTGATAAACCAATAAACTCGGATAAGCAGAAACATAGCAAAATGTTCGCCACAAATTAATAGAGAACAGTTCATTTTCTCATCAGTTAAGCATTCAAACTTCATATCCTACTTTTAAAGTCCGTTCAATCCTGAAGTAGCTGAAAAAAGACGGCAGATAGCAAAGAAAGAACAACAAACACATTGAGAGATTCAACAAAGTACGTTCCTGCAACAAAATAAAAAATTTCTACAGTAATTTTTCTCCTCCTCCCAAGTTCAGCTACATGCAATACACACACACTATTAATAAACTCAAATATGCAGAAAAATAGTCAATTGTCAATCCAAATAATCATCTCACCATCAGCTAATATGGGAGAACTTTGAGCCCTACTTTTTCTGGTCCGCTCAGCCCAGAATTCCGAAAAATGATGCCAAATAGTAATAAAATAACAACAATGTCCAGCCATCAAAGATTAAAACAGCACGTTCCAGAAAATTCCAGCATGTACGTCAAGAAAGCAAGCAGAGCAAACCTTGTTCAGTGCGAGCATTGAGGAAAGTGCGGGAAGAAGAAACGAAAGCAGCAAGGTTCTTAGGCGAGTCGTGATCCATGAGAAGGCGTTCCTCAGCCCTGACCTTGGAAGCCGTAGAAGAACAAGAAGCAAAACTCCGGTACGAAGCGGATCGAAGAGGCAGAGGAGGGAAGAAATATTCAGAAGAAGAAGAAGAAGAAGAAGAAGAAGAGGGAGAAGTAGCGAAGAATGACGAAGAGGGAGAAGGCGGTGAAGAAAGCTTCAGGATAGACATAGTCAAAGTTGATGGGCAAACAAGAGAGATAGCGTGCGTCACAGCGAGACGACCAGTCATGGTCAACGAACTATAGAAGCGAAGACCAGAAGAAGGAGTAGAGCGAGGTAGAAAGCAGGACGAGGGAGGAGGGCATGTCGGAACGGGAGAGAGAGAGAGAGAGAGAGAGAGAGTGATGGCGCGAATGGGGGAAGAAAAAGCTGCTACCTCTGTAACTGTTCCGCTTGAGGATTGGGGGTGGCGGGACACGTGGAGCTCCCTCAACGGATGGCAAGGTGTGGATAAATTGGCTTTCCCTATGCGATCGCCATGTCCATGACATGAAACATCGGGGAGGAATTTATGTGCCAAGCTCATTAATATGCCACTCGATATCATGTTAAAATAAATTTATTAATATCAAAACCCATATTCTATTTTATTTTTGAGTACTTGTTGTGTTTCTGTAAGTTTCTAAATTAACCAGAAATTAATCTTCTAATTGCCAGGATATGGCGCGTGTTTCACAATAACGTGAGATCAAATTCTTTAGTAGATAATCTATATCGAATTTCGTATTTACTCATATATTTTTCCTTCAGATTATTTCCCCTCGTGCAATGTACAATTACAATGGAAATTTTTAAAGCTGATCAATGTTTGATTTCTGAGAGAGAGAGAGAGAGAGAGAGAGAATAAGTCCTGTTGGGCTGTTAGCTGTTGCAATGAAGGTGAAACTTGTACGATTCGAATTGTTCGATTCAACAAATGTGTGATTTCTTCAACTGAGAGGATTTTTCTCGTTTCAATATCTTGCTTGCTACTTGTGTTGTTGAAGAGAGACTTTGTCAAGCATTATAAAAAAACTCAACAAAGTGAAGAATTTAAACGGAAACATTTTCTATTATGACTTTGCAATATTGACCTGAATTTTTTAAGGGATAAATTTAGATGAGAATCGTTATAGAAAATTAATTTTACGTGAGTTTAAAAAAATTAAAATTATAGTTCAATCTAAAAAAAAAGTTAAAAAAATTTTAATAATGAAAAGTCCAGAATACTTTTAATCTGTTATGTAGAATTATTAGTTATTAATTTTTTTATTGCACTTGTTAATTTATCAATATCACTTGTAAAATTATATCATTTTATCAAACAATTAATATCATTTGTTATTAATTTGTTAAATTTATTTATTAATTTATTAACATTAGTTATAATTTACAAGAACTGTCAATAATTTAAAATTGATGTTATTAAATTATAAGACTTATCAATAATTTATAATTGATATTGATAAATTAACAAGTAAAGTTAGTAATTTAACAACTGATGATACCGTTACTTATAATTAAAAAATTAATGTCAAATCTTATATAATTATTGACATGTCAATTCATGTAATTTGTAACTAATATTTATAAATTAATAAGTGAAGTCAAAAAATTAATAACTAATAATTATATATAATAAGTAAAGGATATTTTAATTTTTTGATCGTTGAAATTCTTTTAATTTTTTTCATGTGAACTAAACTAAAATTTTATTTTTTTTTTTTGAATCTACCTGAAATTAATTCTTTATAAAAGTCCTTAACTAAAATTCACCCATTTTTTAAACAGCCTAATGGCATTGAACGTTTCACTTTTTTTTTTTTTTTGGCCAAAAATGAACGTTTCAGTTTAATTTGCATGGATGGCTCTTTTTTAGGCCAACGTGCAGATGACTTGGCTCCGAACAAGGTCCAGTAATATATTCGCCTTGTTAAGGGAGACAATTAGCAATACTTTGCTGTGCCCAAAAAAAAAAAAAATGAGGCAATGTACAAGCTACTATTCATGTTACCCCAAAAAAAAAAAAAACTTATTTCGCATTTATATGAGACCCGCGTGGCCACATTTACCCTTCGTTTGAAAGGGACAATTTTTTTTTTTTCCCCTCTTTGATATAAATTTTTTCTTTAATTCCCCTCTGAAGGAAAGTCATGGGGAAAGCATGGGTGAAATGTCTTTTTCTTCTAGTTTTTTTTTTCATAATTTTTCCTTCTTCCTAATTTCTTTTCATTTCAGAAAAAGCCTTAGTTTTTATTGAAAGTGGGCTTGATTTGTCTGCATTATATGTATACCAGGTCATTCCAAATTTGCATAAAACTCCAATACTCGTTCATATATTGTAACCTATTACAAATTTGATACATTATAATGATGGTTGATAAGTCACAAAAATAATCTGTCAAAAAGCTATATTTTGTCCCAAATATGTTTATGAATGCTCGAGAAAAGTTTTTTTTTTAATTAATGAAGTTAATAAAATTTGATCAATTATACTTATAAAGTACAAATCAACAAATTATAAATTGATAGTGATTTATTAACTAGGGCGGGTCTTCTATGTCTATAGTGAGAATAAAATGAACTGTATCCTTCCCCACTAACTAACAATTGATTGTGATTATCCATACCATCAATATAAATATAAAATACAAGTAAACAAATTATACTACTGGGAGAAATTTCTCAAGGTCCGTGCTCCATTGTTTCTCAAGGGGGAATAACTGGATGGAAGAGTCGGAATAATGAAACATGGAAGAAGTTCAACCTTAAACCTATGCCAATCAATTCAATTTTATCTTAATCATATTAAGATGGGTTTTTTCAGACTGAAAAAGGTGAAAATGGGACTTTACAAAAAAGGACAAAAAAAGGTTTGAGATAGAATAAGACACAACATTGACTAGGAATGTCATGTCCTATTACAAATATTGTGTGTGTATTATTTTTTTTCTTTCAAAAATTAATAGGCATTAAATATATTAATTACTGCTTCTGAACCATAACACAAGACATCTTTTAAAAACCTTACTTGGTTCGAAATATAAGATATTGAATAAATTTTATATCTGTTTTTTTCCATTATACCCCTATTTTATTTATCACTCCTTTTTAAAAAAAATATGTATTAAAATTTTAATTACTATCATCAATACTTTTATATAAGATATTTAACGAGAGTATAAATGAAAATATACAGACATTTATAAAAATTTAAGGTTTCAACTCACATTATTTATAAATTATAAATTAGTTAATTATGACTTATATTGCGATGTAAAGAGAGTATGTTAATATATTTTATTATTATATTAATTTTATTAATATAATTGATTTCAATCAAAACAAAATGCTGAAGCCGACCTCCTGGTTGAGGATGCTTTGCATGTTAATTCAGGTTTTTATTTCTTCGCCCCTGAAGACTAACTAGTGGAGATTTGTTCAGACCTTCATACAGTGAGGGATCGAGAACATGACACATGGGGGACCAAAATTTGTTTTCCCAATTTTTTTTTCAAGTAAAAATCATGAAAATTTATCCAAAAATTCGTGACATGGTCCGTCCCTGCCTCCGTAGGTCTTCGATGTCTTACTTTTAGTTTTTCTTTTCTATTGTTGTTATGTTTCCTTCTTATAAAATATAAAATTGATATGTAAATAAATTATATTAATTATAATTTTAATATTTACAATTCTTAATTAAAATTAAAAGTTCTTGATACAGATAATTTAACAAAACAAAACAAGCAGTAATAATCCATATTTTTACAATATAATAGTTATAATAATATAATTTATTGTTATATTTATCTATTTAATAATTTTCATTTATAGTACATCTCTTGCTTTATTTTTAAAAAAAGTCAATACATTTAAATATCTCAACTAAAGGGAAAAAAAAACCTTAATGTTATACTTAATTTATTTATTACTGTTGCTTTTGTAGCCTAAATGTTACTTGCAATTACTATCATAATATATTATATCTTATATATACTTGACTTTTAAATTATAAACTTATATTATTACTTATATATCTCAAAATTTACTTTAAATCATTATTATGATTCATATATTCTTGTTATTTTGAATTTAATTTAACAAGTTATGTAATTTAAAATTTTTATAAAATAAATTTTTCTTTTACATTATCTATTTTACTAAAACATTTCAATTCCAACCCCATTCCTAATCAAATTCCCAACCAAATGGAACAATTCTTGAAATGAGACGGGACACAAAAAAAATTTAGTCTCGATATTTTTTAATTTTCTTTTTGGGATGGAACAATCATGTGTCCCGGCTGGTCTACAACCCTAATGAATAGTGCCACAGTAATGCGATACAGGCATTTATTACGGTGGTGATCAGGATAAGGATGATACGTAGTAGGTACCTGCCCCACCCCCTTTCTTCCACAAAAAGAAAGACGACCCACCCAACATTGCTGGTGTAGATAATAATAATCAATCATTTGGTCAACATCCATTTTCCCCAACTCAAACATATCCCAATTAGTTATGACCACATGTCTCGTGGATGACTGACACGTAATATAATCATAAAGTGAATGAAGTATTCAAAAATTAACTTTAATGGTTGCAATGTTAACTGATAGCATAGCTGAAAACACGGCCCAAAACTGTTCAACACCAGGCTAGCGTTAAGTTAAATGATAGTGACTATTTTTTGCCTTTTTTTGGGGGGGGGGGGGGCTAATACAAAAACAAGATTTAGGTGTGCTACTGTTGATTTTTATAATCTAAAAGATTTATTGCACATAACAAAAGCCCCTGCCACAACTCAACCAAGGAAGTTCATGATCACCAAATGGAGTACCAAATTGCACAGAACAAAATCTGCGAATGCACGCTCCGGCGCAAGATCCTGCAATCATGCATGGCACTCGTAAATATCCATCATATGGAGAAGCAAATATGTGGAAGACCGATAAAATAAATCACTGAATTTATCACCTCAGGGAATTTCAGAATGGAAAATAGCAGAAAAATTTACCTTGAATTCCTTGTTCTCCTTGTTTACTTGGATCCGGAGACAAACTGGCCCCAAACAAAAAACACAACGACAATTAGAAGAAAGGCCATAACAAATAAAGCCCTACCACTAACAGTGGCTTAGGAGTCTCATAGAAGCCACTTGGTTGCTGGAAAAGATGAGAATAGAATGAATTAAAGAAATAAAAATAAAGTCTTTATTTTAGTATGATAAGCTGATTGTACATTCATCTTGACATTATCTTTCCCATGGAAAAACCCGATACCACAAATGTGGGAATGACCACACTCTCTGCAAATCTCATGAATTATATCTCCCAACTTTATGAATTAAATTACTCCTCCCTCCTCACGAATATGATTGACCTATCTCCCCTCCACATTTTTGTCATTTTATTTTTTTCCTTTACTTCTTTAATCCATTTCATTCTCATCCTTTCCAACAACCAAATAGCCTCATAATGTTCATAAATCTGTGTATATATAGATAGGTATAATTTGCATGCAAATGAATACTAGACATTTGCCACTTACCAGCAAGAACTGCTGTCCCGATACAAGAAAGTACTCCTGAAAGGAAGGAGTTAAATGGGAATGATCCCACCAAAGCCATGTAAACTACCTGTTTTCACAGCACAGAACATAGGTTTCAGTAGTGTCAACTTTGGTGCAAACCCACGTCCCAAGTTATTAATGATAATTAATTCTTGTTTGTATGTTTATGCAAGCATTTTATCAGGGGCAAAACCAACGAATATGAAATAGTGTCTGAAGCTTAGGAGGAAATTAAATTCACTAAACCGTGACATATATCAATTTAATACCAATCTCCACAGTTACGTGTCATGTTGTCCAGAAAACATACAAATTCTCCTTTTTCAGTAATTCACAAGACCGCTAAGTTTTTTATAGCTTTTTTCCTTCATGTATAACACAATTTAATCCAAATTGTATTCTCGCCCAACTCATATCTCAATGTCACAGAAGGAATGAGAAATGGCATACAGCATGCAATAAATATATAAACAAATCAAACTATGAGATGTTTGCACTTTGCAAAGAAACTGAAATCACAACTCCATACAATACTTCAAAAGCAAATGCAGAAGCAAAATGAGAGGAACTAAATTTTAAATTTTCATTTCATGAAAAAAGAAGAGCTATTCAAGGGGTGGGCATGACATGAGAAACCAAAGCTTTGACATGAAAAATTTCATCTTGAGCAAGTAACTGTCAATCTAGCACTTAGTTCCTCGGATGCAATATGGTGACTGGTATACCTTACTGACATCCAGGTTCACTTACAATACCGACCAAAACAATGGATTAATGTTAACAATATACTGAAACAGATATATTTGTCAGCTTTCCCCAATTCCCGCGAAGTTTTAGTGGTAAGGCAGTGATAAAATGAGGTGATGCACCTCAATTCACAAAGTTCTCTTTTTTTTTCACCATAATTTATTTCTATGCCAAGAAAGTGGTAGAAAATTTTTAAACCTAGGCACCTTTAGAAGCAAAAGCTTTTACCGATCTGAATGGCGACACAATCACACTAAACATGTGTCATTAGCAACCCGCCGCTCCTAAAATGCAGCGGACATAGGACAGCTCGGTTTAATTTACAGTAGACTCGAACATTATTAGGATATTTAACACCTTTAAATCCTGGACGACACAAAACAGAATAGGGAAAAATGATCGGCTCAAAAAAAAAAAAAAAAAAGCAATGTCAATCCATGATCACCACAATTCACGTCAGAAAACAAGCACAATTTCGCCATTGCATGTAATTGAAAACCATCGCCGACATTATAGAAAACAGATCTAAAAATAATGGGAGGTGCAAGGATTGACATGCGCTCAACGAGATTGTGACTAGGAAAGTACCTGGATCAGAGCTGTGAACACTGCGAACATGACATACAGGTCAATGATCTATAGAAAGGGGTAAAATGGGTAAGAAATCTTAGATTTTTGAGACCGGAATCGAAGGCAGAGAAAGAGAGAAGACGGAACCTTGAGATTTGTGGGAGTGGCAGAATAAGCAGACCAAAGAGCGCGAAGAAGGTCTTGAGCATCCTTGCTAGTTGACCTCGCCATCCTCGAATTGGCGCTACGCTTCTCTGCTCCCAGACTGCTACTTTCTACAGTCTCGATTGGCAACCGATGATGAAGATTGCAGAGCCCTCAAAAAATGTTCGGGTCGAACCAGGCCACACCATTTGCAAAGTCGCCGTCTTGACTCTAGGGTAACACCGTCTTTTTACTTTCAATTGGCACTTAGCACGTTGGTTGGTACGTGGTAGCCTTCAATAGGCCCGCATTTAGCCCAGTATCGAACTTTCTGCAATTTTAAAGACTAATAACAATGGTGGGCTTTGGAGAGAGTATGAGGCATGCCCCTTATAAATAATGCAACTTTTACAATTTTTTATAAATAAATTGTACATTGTATGCAGAAAGCAACGAACGAACTTTTTTACCTTGAGTGATAGCTTAATAGGTAGGCATGTGTTTTGAAAAATATTTCCAGAATAACGCCCAGTAAAAAATTATTTATTGCAATAATGAGAAAAATTTAAAAATTGACAGAAATGCTCCCAACAGCTGAGAGTATACCACTGCATGCCAAAGCAGCTACAACAACGGATGAACAATATTCTTTAGAACATAGTCAAATGAAGGTGTGAAAGCCTGGAATCACCTTCACTGAAGTTGATTTCCCACAATTAAGACTCAATGTCAAGTAGGATGAAGGGAAGAAAAGACCCTTCTTGTATAGCAAATTAGTGACTAGAGAAGCTAGGGTTTTGAAGGTGAGCAAAAATGAGCTACTTGGAATGGAAGCTGAAGATACCATGGATATTGGTTTCAAGAGTATTAAAGATTTGATGAAGGGGATTTCTATTGATAAATCCGACTCACTATGTCCTAATTTCACCATATCAAGATAGGAAAATGAAAGATTGGATCTTCCTTTTGAAAGAACCTTAGTTGTCCAACTTCTCGGGCAAATTGTGGGAAAAGCATTATCCAAAAAAAAAAAAAAGATTCCACTTGTGTGAGGCGAGAAGGGTAAGATATGGATTACAGATGTGGGCAACGATTTCTTTCTGGCTAGCTTCAAGACGAAGATGACTGCGTGGAAGTATCAATAAGAGGCTCTTGGATAATCAGTAATGCCTATCTCAGGATAACAAGATGGAGATAAGATTTTAACCCTAAAAGCAAGAAGACCTTGAAGATTGCTGTGTGGGTGAGACTGTCAGATACCAACATGAAGCACTTTAACAAAAAAATCTTGTGGAATGTCAAAAGTTAGATTAAGAAGGTTCTAAAAGTAGGCATCCACACATAACACTTCATGCTAGAGGTATGTGCACCTAACTCTTTGTTGAAATTAATTTAATCAAACCTTTATTGCCACATTATGTCATTGAAGGAGTTGTCAAACTGATTGAATACGAAAGTCTAGGTTTCTTGTGCTTAAATTGTGGGAGATACATGCATTTGAAAGAAAATTGTGGAGAGGTTAAGGTGGTGATGAGGCTAGGGAATAATGTAGATAAGGAAAACCCTATGGCCAGAGTAGAAGAGGAGGAACAAGAGTTATGGCAAATGGTTTAATGATCACAACAAAGGAGATGAGGCATATTTTGTGAAGAGGGATTTGGTAGAACCTTTAGATTTGCAGTGTTGGATAATGAGAATGAAGAGCAAGCCATTAATACTAGAGTATAGATAAAAAATGATACTGACATGAGGAAACTAGAGGCGAGAAGAGAAGATGAAAAAAGGAAAAAGAATTAGAATCATGAGAATAGTCCCAAGAGAACTAAATAGCAAGGGTTGATGGACAAGGAGGCAAAGCTGATATTCAACAAGGCATTGATAATGAGAATTAGTCCTGTGTTTATCCAGGAAAATGATATAGACCTTGTCAATAGTCTAATAATATAAACACAAGGAGGAGAAAATACCATGTTTGAGGACATTACATACACAAACTCCTTTAGATACAGAAGGGGATGCCTCAATGTCAAATGAGATTGACAGAGGGCTAATGCACAAGGCATATAAGTTGTGTGAACTTAATTTGGATTACACCATGTAAGATACTAATGTCAACTTGCTAGAATAAAATATGGAGGGCTTTGAGGAATGTAGGGGGGATTAAGTCCTTTATTGCGTTGTTAACTATCATTTATAAGCATAAGGCTAATTATCTATAATTGTTGAGGGGTGGTAGGTAAAAAATGCGTTGTTATAGTCAATGAAATGGTACGAATGTATAAATTGAATTTAACGACATTAGTTGAGCTAAGGATTAATGGTTATAAGGCTAAAGATATTGTAAAAACTATGGGATTTGGTTAATGTGAAAGAGTAGGAGCATAGGGTTTCATAAGGGGTATTTGGCTTTGTTAAAAAAAATGAGAATTTACATATTAAAATGTTTGAAAAAGGAGAAGAATTCCTGCACATAATCATGAATGATAAAGGATCAATAAGAGTTTTTGCAACATCAATGTACATAAATCGACAAGGCACGAGACGTAATGCGATATGGGCAAAGTGGAAGGCATGTGCAAAAAATATTAATAAACCTTGGATTATCATTGGAGACTTTAATGACATTACTTCTCCCTCTAAGCAAAAAGGGGCAGAGGGTTGAATCTGGCAAGATGTACTAGCTTTAAGGATTGGGTAAACAATTATGGGGTTGTTTAACATTGAGACAAGGGACTCATACTTCACTAAGTAGGGATTGAAATGGCAAGACAGGGAGAAAGTATTCAAAAGACTTGTTAAAGGGTTGTGTAACGAGTCATGGTAGTGACAATTCTCAAATATGACAATTAAAGTTTCACCGAGAATAGGATCTGACAACCACCCTGTTTATTATGATATAGAAGGTAAGAAAAAAATTGAAGATGCAGATAGAGCTATCAATTAAGACCAACCCAACCCTAAAGGACTGGCCCTTGAAGGGCCAGGGCCTAAATAGGCTGGCCCTAATAAGCTCGATTATATGTCAGGGTTTCCTTTTACAAGGGCTGGCCTTTAGAGCCCCAACCTTATTTTAAAAAAAAATCAATTTAAAGTTATAAAAAATATATTTATAATTATAAAAAAAGTTAATATACATAAAATTAAGTTTAAGGAAATAAATTTAAATCAATTTACATCAAAACAATAAAAAAATTAAATATTTAAGTCTAATATCAAATAGCAACATCAAAGTTAATACCAACAAAAGTTAGACTTAGCTAATATTATCAACTAAATCTTAATGAATGAATGAAGGATAGATGAATGCATTTAATATGTTCATTTCTTTGAGTTATATATTTAATCTTTTATTTTTTTATATTACAATTTTTTTTAAAAAATAATAAAAGAGCTTAAAAGGGCCGGCCCTGCTCCTAAAGGGCTTACCCTTTTATTTTTTGCCTTAAAAGGGCCCTTTTAAGCCCAAATTACCATTTTTCTTCCAAAATACCAGCCCAACCTTAGTTATTTTTGAGCTTAAAAGGGCTGGTCTGATGGGCTCGACTCTAATTGATAATTCTAGATGCAAACTATTCCAGTTTAAAGCTGTGTTGTTAACACACTGGTTGTTTGAAAGTCTGTGAAGGAAAGATGGGATAACTTTGTAGGCATATATAAAGCACTAGAGGCCTTCAAAATAGAGTTCAACAAATAGAATTGTGATGCCTTTGGAAAAATGGAAGGAAAAATGCACTCATTAACACATGTACGATCAAACAAGGTGACTCTTTAATGTGGAAAAGGTTAAGTAAATTATGACAGAGGCTATTACAAAACATTGATTGGGAGGTAAATAATGGATTGACATATTGCATTATTTGCATATATTTTAAGATGATATTCTTGCATTATTGCATTCTTGGATGATTAATTCTTGCATAATTAGTATTTCTAGGCCTTTAAAATTAATTAAGGTTCATTCATATTCTAGGGGTATTTTGGTTATTGTGTCTTTTATCTTTCCAAGATCAATAAAAAAATTTGAGATCTAAACTCATTCTAAATTGCGAAGAGACATCAAAAGATATAAGTTATAAAATGTTCTAAGACAAAGACATTAATATTAGGTTATCATGTTTTATAACCTAAGAGCTTAGAAATGGTATTGTATCTTGCAATTGGCTTTGAGTTTTGATTTAAAATTTTGCACACATGCTTTGACAACTCTTATGTGTATGATTACAGATTCAAACAAGGATTTGGATAAAGATTAGATGGCCAAAATATTGAATTATATGACAAACTACAAAGCAAGAAGACTTTAAAGTGACATATGTGCAAGAGTTAATTCAAAGATCTTTAAATAACTCTAAGCATTAAGGATTTTGACCAAGCATCCCTTAATCACGATTTGATCATATTTTTAAAAGTGTTTAATGAGTTCTAATTAAGTTTGGAGCATCCTATAAGAGCTACATGTGCATCAAAGTTAACATAGCTTGAATAATGGTCACATTCATTCTGAAACCTTATAACCAAGTGCATTAAGTAATTTTAGATATTTTATGGCTTTGATCACCTGAAACGCATCTTGTTCTATCATTTTATACCATCACAAGTTGAATAGAGGGATTTGGTTCGTGCATACACTCACTCACCTCATTTTACACATTACAATACATACTTATCTTCTCTCACTTTTCTAAAATTTTTAGCATCACTTCATCTAAATTTTCTCTCATTTTTCTCCACTTTCTTAACCATGATCCTTCATCTTAAGTAAGTATTGAAGCCATGAAAGTCATCTCAAAGAGGATTTAAGGAGAATTCACCATGAGAGGCTAGATCCTTACAGATTTCCAAGAAAGATAGAGTTATATCTTGAATTCTTCTAAATTGTTTCTCTTGCTTTCAATTGCTTTGAATTCTTCTCTTCTCCTTCTTTAATTATGTAAATGCTCTTGATGATTGATTCTAAGTCTTAGATTAATCATTATGGAAGAAATTCATGTTCCAAAGATGAGAGAATGTGTATTTAATTCCTGAACTAGTTTTACACTTTAAGTATTTGTGTTTACGCCTTAAGGTTTTGATAAATGAATGCATGCTTTTAGTTCAACCTCTTGTTATTTGGACATGTATTATCTATTGTTTAAGTCATAAACTCTAGTTGGTATCATCATCTTGATTAACTTAAGGTATTAAACATGGTTAAGGCAAGAGCTAAGACTAGTTTCAAGAATTGATCACAAATTAGTGTATCTATTTAGGTAGTTTGTGCATTAGATTCTCAATGGTTATTAGGTTTTAATCACTATTATATAGTCTTAATAGTCATTAAGACACCTTTACACCCCAATTGAAGAAGGCAATTGAATCTGAAATAAGGTGAGAAATAACAAGGATGGAAATTGTGAAATCTAGTCTTGGGAAGCTATTTTGATATTTGGTTGATTCCTGCACATTTTCTTTACATGAAAATCAAATATAAACATTTAATTTCTTCCTTAAACTCTTAGCTTCAACTCTGAATTTTTAATTGTCATGATTATTGGCTTGATTTGGTTGCAAAATGCTTGTTCCTTGATAATAGAATGACCTAAGTCACTCACACTATTATACCTTAATTTCTTTAAGAAACTTAACGTGACTTAGGGCTTGGATTAAAGGTAAATTTTTGGATAGACATGCAGTTAGATAATGAGCGGCTATTAATAAACAGAATGTTAAGGAGCTTGTCTATAGAATCTCAAGACGTTAAGGTTGCTTAGCTTATAGGAAAACAGGGGGGATGGAAATTGGGTAAATTGTCTAGCTAGTTACTTGCTGATATTATAGCTAAGATTCAAGTAGTTTTACCTCCTAAGGGTGATGAGTGGGAAGATGGGGTTAAGTGGATAAGGAAGGGAAAGGAGAAATACTCTATTACTGAAATGTATAAAAAAAATTAAGAGACTTTGGAACCATGATGAGGAAGAGATTTAGATGAAAATTTAGGAGTTGTAAAGGCTAATAAGGGAATGGGGGTTTATTGATGACTTTTAATGAGCAATTGCTTTTTGACTTCAGCATGCAGGGGTAAGACCTATCACTTATTTGTATGAGATGTGGGGGATGTAGATGATAAGTGTATATTTTACTTAAATTAATATATATCCTTTGCTCTTTCATTTGCTAATTAATGTGTAAATTAATTAAAAAATGGATAAATTACCTCATTAAATGATTTTTAGGTATTTTAAGGAAACATGAGCAAAAATAATATCTAAAGAGGTCAAAATTGCAAGTACCATTCAAAGCCTAAGAGACATGCCCAAAAGAGATGTCTAATCATGGATGATTAGAAAAGAAAAGCTCTTCATGCTTGGATAAAGCTCAACACGAAGAAGACTATTCGTTGGAAGTATGTTTGCTCGTGGACAAGGGATGAAGAAAGCACGATCTCATGTGGACATATGGAGCATTGGGGTTTAACCACGTGCAGAGGAGCTCATGGACATTACCCCTTTGTCATTTGACCGTGCGTGGATATCAATAAGAGTTTGATTGCCCATAAATGTGTGGAATAGACGCGTGGCAAAAGTTGGTTTAAAATTCAATTGCAAAATTAAACAATATCTTATATAATTAGATGAGATAAGATAGAGATCAAACGCCAAAAGGGTGCAAACAAGCTGCAAATAAAACCCTAACAAACTTTTAAGGGGAGCAAAGTTTATATCCGAATTGAGAAGACAATTTTGGGGCATCAACCAAGGATTTGGAGGCTAGAATGAAATTTAAAGAGTTATTGTGGGGCTTATTCGAGAGATTTTTTTGGATTTCTCTTCTCTTTTTTACTATGCCTTTGATTTTTTGTATTGTTTTTAATTTATTTTGCATATTTGAAGTCATGGGTGGTTAGTTTTATTTTATCCTCAAAAATTCTATAAACCTTTAATACTTTGTCAGTAGATTTTTTTTTTAGTTATTGATTTTGATGAATGCTTTAATGCTTAACAAAATTTATTTTTGTTCTTATACTATTTGTAGCCAACTTTAATGTGCATTTGGATCTTGGTTTTCATTTTTGACAAAAGGGAATACCAAATAGATCCTTTATTAAAAACTTATGATTAAATTTAATCTATTTGGACTTGAGAGAGAGACACACACACGTTTTCAAGAGCCATGGATAATTTTTTAAGGCTTGTGTATAACTAGATCATGACTTACTTAAGATACAATAATATAGTTAGATTATAGGTTTCGTAGTCAAGAGCCATATAATCTAATGTAGATACTTGATTTTAAACTTAAAATGCGATAACCAAAATAAATTAAATTGTAAGAGTATAAAAGAGGATTAGAATTCCTATAACGCTTTTTAACTATTAATCTCAGCCCAGATTTATTCCTTGGCTTCAATTTTATTTTATTTGTATTTTTTATTTAATAAATATTCACTATTTGATTGAAAAATTTAACTGAAACAAAAACAACTTTGCGTTTGTGCCAATTCTTTTAATTAATTTCGCGTAAGATAACCTTGATTTACTATGCTATATTAAACCCGTGATGTGTTTTAAAATTTTGTGGGCATCAATTGACAAAGACACACCTCATGCTGTGAGACACTGTGCAAGGCCGAGGAAAGTATGGCAAGATCTAAATTGTGAAGACATGGTAAGGAATTTTTTCTCCCTTGCATTGCCATCGCGTGAGTGGGTTCTGGTTAATCTGCTGAAGAACCGAAATGCTGTGGGTGATTGGAATCTGGTTTTTGCAATAGTTTTTATGGACCTGGAGAAATTATCAATTCTTTGACGTTGCTGACATGTAGAGGTTGGCAAAGTGGGGATTCTTTCAATCCAATCCAATTCGTTTGTTTGGGCTTTGGCCTCGTATTGTTCACCGAAAAACAACAAAAACAAAAACAAAGAAGAATGTTTATTACAATTCAATCAAACAACAATATAGGCCATGAAGTTTGGCCCAACATATATATATATCTATATATATTTATATATATCAGCAATGAATAACGCATGCTTCGTCTGCTTCATACAAATGTCATTTAAATGCACAAGTTCGCTATAAAATTTATTTTGTTATAAAATTACCTTAAATTTAAAATCATTTAGTACTCTACGTTTTTAGCGAGAATTTGGGAAAAATTAGATATGACTAGAAGAGAAACATAAGAACAAATCACCTCCCAAATGAAAGCGATTTGGTGGTGACTAGCATCCACATTCAATGTTAGGTTTATAAAAAGAAAAACGATAAACGAAGTTTTTATAAGAATATTAATATTAAATTAAGAATTTTAATACTAAAATATGAGAAAAAGAGTATTGAATTTGAGAATGTTAATATTGGAAAAATCCTAATTTAACGTAAATATTCTTCTGAGATTTGTACTCATCATTCTTCCTTTATAAAATGCAGTCCTTTTATGTAAATATTTGTTTTTTTCCAGCCAAAAAAAAATTATTTGACCTTTTTTCTGGCCAGAAAAGAAAAGAAATATTTACCATATTTTGCTGGGAAAAACCATTTGCTTTCTTAGCATGGAAAAATATATTTAACTTGAATAAAACGGAGGACAGATGAAGATTGAATACATTTTTATATCCCTTCGGGGAAGATTTACTTCAAATTAAAAAATACTGAATTAAAGTTTCAAAAAAAGGAAAACAACGATGCGACTTACCTCTATTTTTTAACTTTATTTTTATAATTTAATATGTATTTTCCAAAATATTTTCATTGAAAAAATGATAAATTTTTTTTAAAATATGCAAATGATAACAAGGTATTCGAAAATTTAATTTTTTAAAAATTTTTTAACATTAATAATTTTTAATAAAATGATTAAAATACTTTCAATTTAAAATAAAAATTAACATCACTAACTAAAAAAAAGTAAATATTAATTATTATTTTAATTTAAATAATTATTTTTTTTGATAATGACAAGAATAAGACAAGTAATTACAACTTCTTTAATACAAACTTGATATTGTAAATATTTATAATTATTTTAATTTAAATAATGATTATTTTTTTTTATAATGCTTAAAACGAAAAAAGTAATTACTACTTTTGTTTTATTATTTTAATTATTTAATAAAAATTATTAATGTATAAGTATAAATTTTAATTTTAATTATGAAATTCCTACAGAATTGGAAGAAAAGGGGCAAAACGAATCCAGAGAAAAACAGGTTATTGTTATTATATTATTATTATTATTATTATTGACACCCGGAGCATTGCTGGTTTCAGTATGTTTGGGGCCTGGTGAATCCAGAGGAGGATCGAACCTCAGCCTCAGCTCCGAAATGGCGTCGTTTTCGTTTTTACCGGCCATTTCTGCTTCTTCCACTCCTCAGACAAGAGCTTTCTTTCCAGCACGGCCGACTTTGCATTTGAAGAGCCGGTTAGCAATCCCTCTCACCATATTCAATGTTAACGCGCCTGACAGCATTGTTTTCTCAGACTTTGCTGCCCCCCTTGCATGTTGATTCCCTCAAGTTCTCACGTGTTTGGTTGATGATATTGATTGTAAACTTGTAATTGTTGATAGGTGTTGTTTCTTGTCCTGCTACTTATGATGTTTTAGACCGTGGAGTCACTGAATTAGTGGAAACGCTTGTTTCATTCGGCCGTGGTTAACAATTATGTTAATATTATGACTTCAAATTATAGAGTTAATTCAGAATTCAGCCTGGTGATGGTGATGATATTAGTTAGTGAATAAATGTTTATAGTAGTTATGCTAGTTTGGGGCATTATTTCAAGCTTTTCTCCCAATTGTTGGAACATTAATTTGTCCGTACGATGAGTAAAATTGCATGGTTGTGCTGGGGAGGATGAGGCGATAAATAAGCTGTGCGATATGTAATGTTATTTTTGACATTAACAAAGTTATTTTCCCCAGAACTGATTCATTTGACAAGGTTCAATTATTTAGCTTGGCCTAGTGGGGGAAGGCTGGTCATAATGAAGAGAAGCACTTATGTTAAAAGTCGTCACATTTGTATTGCACATTCTAGTGTGCGTGTAACCTATATATTCCGGATTATCCTGCGGAGCGCCCATTGTTCCTATATGAATTTCTTTGTTCTTGAACTCCATGCTTCTTGTTGCACAACTTCGTCTTAAAATCAGGTGGCCTCAGCATCAGGATACTATCTACAATGGCAGCTACATAATGAAGTGATTGAACAATTTGCTTTTCCTCTAGCTTTTCAGATCTTGCCTGCAGTATAATCTTAGGCTACATTTCTCTATTTCTGTGTTCATAGCTAATAGTCAATGTATTTCTTTCTGCAGGTTTGTGGTTAGTAGCAGATATGCTGAAGCAGGTATCAGGGATGATTATGGTTCTGCCACTATAGATGTTGTGGCTGATGTTAAAAGTGAACGGGTTTGTGGACAATCTAACTGTTGAAATAATTTGAAAGTATAAAAAAGTATTGATTTCTGGAACTTCTTTGGCAAAATAGTGCTTGCTTATGTGCTTTTCTTAGTAGGTTGTGGTCCTAGGAGGCAGTGGATTTGTTGGTTCTGCTATATGCAAGGCAGCAGCATCCAAGGGCATGGAGGTCATCAGCCTAAGCAGGTATGTGAATTGTTTAACAGATTGGCTGCATCTGTTTATTTGTTTCTGTTCCTCCCTTCCTCCTCTCTCTCTCTCTCTCTCTCTCTCTCTCACCCATACTCTCTAGGCTTCTATGTTTTGTGTTTATGAACGCGTAGCATATAGATAGAATCAAGGTGTAGTAAGTAGTAAATGGGAATATAGAATTGATGTGAAGATAAATACAAGACATCATAAAGGGGTAAAAGAATGAGTATATCCTCAAAATGTAAAATGGCTATATGCATTTTAAGGAGAGTGATACTTGCAATGAGAAATGGATTACCAGTACCTGAGCATATTCATTACTGCTTGATCCTTGAATCTCTATTTAATTCTTTTTTCTATATTAACACAGTTAACACAAAGGAAATTAGATCCAAGTATCGTTATATACCTAGACCTTTTTCCTGCAAGCCATCAACTGAAGTGTTCTGTTCATATTACATATGCAGAGTTCAAAATTACAACATTACATATGCAGTTCATATTACACACACCCAAACCCACATGCACGTGCATATTTTGCATGCACGTGATACACTCTTGCTTTTACTTTAGCGAAGTATATTTTTTAACTGGTTTTTTATGTTACAGGTCAGGTCGTCCTACGTACCCAGGCAGCTGGGTAGACCAGGTTACTTGGATTTCAGGCATGTTAACTGTATCGTTATGACAAAAAGCTGTTGATTATATGTGTGTGTGTGTGTGTGTATTTGCCAATGAATATCAAGATTTTTGTGCAAACATTCTAAGGAAATAAAGATTGGGTGAGGATGGGGAGCGAACAAATATTGTAAAGTTTTATACAAATCAAATTTAATAAAAAGCATTTGTTTATTGTTACCAAATAATGTTGCATAGAAATTTTCCTCTCTACTTTATTCACAAGTAGATTCATGTTTGAATATTTTTCTCGTGTTTTCCTTCACCCATGTGGTTGTCTTCTAGTTGTCAAAAGTATTTATTTGATGACTCCAAAGTGAAACATCTGGCGTTCAGCTAAGATATTCTGCCAATATTTTTCCATTTACATTTGACTAAATAGTATAAAAATTGTTGATCTTTTCCTATTTACAGTAACCTAGCAACTGGTGAGGTATATCAGCCTGAAGATAGGAATGCCTGGTGTGATCTGATTGAGTGAGAGAGAGAGTCTAATTTTAACAAGTTCTCACTGCCTCCTTTGACTAGATAGTTGGGCTACTTTGTGTTGTGAGGATTTAAACTGCAAAGGAGTAGTGTCGACTGCAATTTATGAGATATTATATATCAATTACTATGATAGTGTTTGTTTAGCATCACAACCTCTGGACGCGCATGTTTCTTTCTTTCTTTCTTTCTTGGTTTCCTGTAGGAGTACTGAACGTTATACCTCATACTTAATCTATAGGAGATGTATTTTATGTCAACTGGGATGAAGTACTTGTTGGAGCTACTGCTGTGGTTTCAACCCTTGGGGGTTTTGGTAGTGAGGAGCAGATGAAAAGGATTAATGGTGACGCTAATGTAGTTGCTGTGGATGCTGCAAAGGAATACGGTGAGGAGTCATTTATTATCATTTTGCTGTTAAATATTATCATAACACGTACTTAGCTTTTCTTCATATTTGTTATGTTCGATTTAGAATTGAAATTATTAGAGCAATGTCAATAACATGCCTTTTTAAACGACCATGGACTGACAAGGAGCTACTCATTTGGTTTATAAGCAGTTTCAAAAACAGCCGTGGGCTCTGTCTCTGCCCTTGTGAAGTTAGTTTTTAGACAAAAGCACCAAGCATGTGGCCATGTTTCTGGATCAGAAGTGATAAAGTACGGGCAAAGAATATTAGAAGTATGGTCAAGAGAGTGATATTGGGAATTATTTGCAAATTGGGGATAAAGCATCAATTAAGGCTAAATACTGGAAATGATTGGAATCCATGGAAGAATAATTTTAGGCGTTTGTGAAATAATGAGAACCCTAAGAAATAAAAGTCTAGAAAATAACACTTCAATTGCTTTTATTTTAAATATATGCTTTAATTATCCTTTTGTTTTATTTGTATTCTGTTTTTACTATTACCCATTAGTACTAATTGTATTAGGGCTAACTTTTGATTGATTATTGAATCTAAATTCAGACTCTCCGTCAACACTTGCCTCCTTTCTCCCATTTCGCCTCCTCCCCCCCCCCTCTCTGCCGTCTTGCACTGGTTCCTATGCATTTTAGCACAGTGGAATGGTGCCCATATCTATTGAGTCCATTCTCAACCAAGCTTGGTCTCGTGCATGTCTTTGCATGAAATGCATTTCATAAATTGTCTTTATAAATCTTCTAATTTTATTTATAAAATCCAAAATTAGTGTCCGGATGCTCTTTTTTGATACAGTGTTTTGCCTCTTAAATAAGTTCTAGTCATAAAATCTTAAAAAAAAAATCATCTTTGGTTAAAGTGCTCTTTCCTGCTGTTATGCAGGTTTTAACATGCATCTTAATCTATAGGGGCCAGATGGCATTGGATGCTTAATTCTCACCCTTTTTATCTTAAAATATATTTGTTGCCTTGCAGGGATTCCCAAATTCATCTTAATCTCAGTTCATGATTACAACTTACCTTCATTTTTACTTTCATCTGCGTACTTCACTGGAAAGAGGAAAGCAGAGTCTGAGGTTCTCTCCAAATACCCCAATTCAGGTTATTATTCTATGCCTTTAATAATCTCAACTTGGTGAAACTTACCAACAGCATTATGAAATTTGGCGCTGGAGTTATGGAGACAGGGACCCCACCTGCCGTTGTTAGGAATTGTCCTGTTTAGAAGATTGGATAGCTTGTGAAGCTGAAGACAAATAAAATCATTGTAGTTTGTGTGTTGAAAATGCATATCAGCATATTTTATATTTCCCTGAAAAGAAAATGCTTATGAAACCAGCCGTAGCTTTCATGTTTTTGTTTGACGGGTGTAAAACTAAGTGAACATGGGTAGTTAATCTCATACCACTAGATTTTACCTATTGGTGTTTGTATCAACTATCAAATATTGAGCGTGTATTGTATGAACCGGGTTGCTTTTCATTGACCTGAATTCTTGACAGTTCCCTTGAATCTCAACATCTTCAGGCGTGGTATTAAGACCTGGTTTCATATACGGGAAGAGGAGAGTTGATGGTTTTGAGATTCCCTTAGACTTGGTGGGAGAGCCAGCAGAGAGAATTCTTCGGGCCATAGAGAACTTCACCAAACCTTTAAACTCTCTTCCTGGATCTGATCTGCTGTTAGCCCCACCTGTTAGTGTTGATGATGTTGCACTTGCAGTTGTCAATGCTGTCAGGGATGATGACGAATTCGGCATTTTCACAATTGATCAGATCAAGGAAGCTGCAGCAAAAGTGAGGGCATGATCCAGATGCAGGAATAGCTAAAGGAGATCAACAAGAAGGCCTCCAGTGCTGTGCTGCAGTCATTATACAACGTGGCAATTTTTTTCCTTCTCTCGTTCATACCTAAATATAGGAGTATTGTAATCTGATATGAGTTTCACATGTAGAACACTACAGACTGAGTTCTACCTGTTATATGCATATTGTATAATGTCAAAAGAATCTCTGTAAAGATCCATGCTTGTAAGCAACTTTTCATGACTCCTTAGAGAACTATGTGCTTATGGCACCTTTTGTCTATTTTCTTTCCTTTTTTTTTTTTTAACCTGGTCAATGTTTTCCAGTTTGGGATGTGGTTATCCCAGTTACAATGATATACCTATTTTAGAAAATCAAAATTTGAGTCCAATAATTACTTGAAAACAATTATAAAACAAAATTACGTACTGGCTTATGTGAATATCCAGATTCCAGAGCCTAGACCTGCTAACATAAGCAAACCACCTGGCAAACAAAATTGGTCTGGAGAAATCGTGAAAGAAACCATGGCGGAGACGGCTTCAGGATTCATCACCTGTGGTGATAAGACCAGGTTAAAATTGGATCTTCATAATTTAATATTATTTTATCTATTATTTTAAATAACTTATTAATTTAATATATGCAGAATTTAAAACAAAAGGGATATTTTTTTTATTGCCACTTTTTTAAATAGAATTTATCACTTGAAAATTATAAAGTAAACTTTAAATTCAGACCGCTGAAGCTAAATTTGTATCGTCCAGATCGCATTGCAACGATAAATACTGGAACCATGATAGAATCCCACAAGGAAAAGCACATTCAAAGGAATTTCTCTTTGAAAGACTTTCCTGTTGCTTGTAGAATGATTTCTTCATGTTCTCTCATCATATGATAAATTCGTTTTTTATTTTATATTATACATCTATTAGCGTGAAACAAAGAATATTAAAATATAATAATAAAATGGAATCAAATCTAAATTGTCTCATTTTAACCTAATAATCCAAATGTGATGAACATAAGATGCTGATTGAATCAACCAAATCTATTTTCGATTATCATGAAACTTATGCTCAAGCCAACTATAGAACATGTTTCTGCTGTTTGGTTATTGAGAATGATGGGAATGAAGTGGATTAAAAAGATCAAAATAAAAATAAACTAAATTATCTTCTCTCTCTCGGGTGATAAATATAGAGCTTCATACTTTTGGCACAAGATACCAATTTTTAATAAACTCGAGAAAAAATATGTCAAGTCAATTTAAAATTTGAACTTCCCTTTGTGTGGAGTTGGATCCTCTTAGACTTCAACCTCTTTTATTAATTTGAGTGGATCTCCTTCACGGATTCTCCTTTATGTCCTTGTTCTGAAATCCTGACTTGGAATAAGTCATTTTATTTATTTAATTAAATTAATAATTAATATTAATAATTGGTTAATGCCTTTCCATGAATCCTCTTTTCTTTTCCCCATCATCTTTTTGTCGTTATTAATAAGTAACAGTGAGCTAGCGATGAACTCGTTCTTTCTTTCTTTATTTTTTTGTTTTGCTTGACCTGAATGAACTCATCCTTTAGAGAAATCACGATTTGGACTTTTTCTTTGGGCCAAGTTTTGAACTTGAATTCCCTGGAAGCAACTTTACAAATTCTTTTTTTTTTTTCTTCTTCTAGTGGCAAGTGATGGATTACTTTAATTCAAATTTTCAATTAAAATTTAATCAAAGTGACAGGAAAAATGTCATGATATGTAAGGTACACGTCTTTTACTTTCACCCATCTGTTCTTTATTTCTTTTCTCCATAACCTTCGCAGTAAACTTTAATTTAACAACTGTCTTATGAAATTAACATCAACTAATTTATATCCTGTTTGTTTTCTATTTTGTTTTTTATTTTTGAAAAGAAAATTTAAAAACCTTTTTGATTAAGTGTTTTCTATTTACTTGTTTGCAAAACTTTTTTTGTTTTTAAAAACAAAAAAATAAATACAACTTCAAGTTATTTTCATTTTATTTTCTTTATTTTTAAAATATGTTACATTTGATTATTAAAAATTTCAATTATGTTAACCAATTTTTATCGCAAATCACTGTCATTAATCATCTATAATCATTACTATCATTATATTTTTTAATTTTAAAATTGTTTTGAATTAATATGACCAAACGGATTGTCATTTTATTTTGTTTTAAAAAATAATTCAAAAAACTGTATTACAAAATAATTTTTAAAAATAAAAAAATAAAAACAGAAAGCAAACATGTCCTTAAACTTTAAATAGAAATCAAAGCAGCTTTTTTCTATGATTTTTGTTATTTATGAGGTTTAAAGTTTAACACTTAAATTTGTTCACGGGACATTAAATCTTTCCCGCCAAACTCAATTAATATTGGTTGAACGTATTGATGTGCATATAAAAATTTTAAACTCTTCAACATTATTAGGTTTGCTATTGAAAGTGAATTGACTATCCTTGCACCAGTACAAGTGAGCTCAATTTTTTTACAGTTTTATTCAAAATGTTTGGGTTAATGGGCAAATTTACCCTAAAATTTTTTTCACCAAATTTAACTAACATCTTTAACTCTTGATTGGTACAATATTATTTCAAAATTTTTAAAAATGGTGTAATTCTTCTCTATAATAATGTTTAACTAACAATGATTGTTAGTTGAAAATTTTAACTTGGGCTAAGGAATAAATTTTGCTTCAAAAGTTTTTTTTTTTTGAATGAGCTATTGGTATCTTAAATTTTCCATCAGCGACATTTTTTTAGATTATCAATGTTTAAATCAAAGGAAAAATCTAACAATCCATTATTGTTGTGATAAAACTTATATACTTAGTTTTATATACATAATATATTTGTATCTAATTAAATCAAGACAAATAGATTTTTATAAGTTAAAAATAACAAAGACAATAATTTACTATGAAATAGATAATCTATAAAAAATTCATATGTCCTAATTTAATTGAAAACAATCACCTTAAGCATATAAGACTAAGCATGTAAGTCTTTCACCTTTTAAAAATGGCTCTCATTTCTTGATTGTGGCAATAGGTCTTACTCGACATTGCTTCGATGTAAAATCAACTCTGCCTCAAACATTCTACAAATTTTTTCTTGAAATCTATACTTGTCCTTATTTTGGCCATGAGTATTTTTGGGCTTGCAATGGCTTAAATATAGACTTACTCAAACTTGCTTATGTGTGACATAGACTAGCTTGAATTTTGATAGAGGAATTCATTAAATTCAACTTATAATCTTCTTCTAATTTTAGGTCATGACAAATTCTGTTTGATCATTGTTTTAATTTAAAAGTTGATGATTCAAAAGCATTGCTCTAATCAAAAATTTAAAATATTGATGCCTTCTTTAAAGAAACACATGAGACAAAATCATCCTTTAACATTCAACATAACGATCAACATTGGTCAAGAAATACTGTAGAGTAACATTGTACCATTTTTGAAACTTCTAAAGTAATATCTTGTAACATCTTAATTTTTATTTTTAGTATTTTAGTAACATTAGGATTGAAATTCACCATGCAACTGGTTGAGCAAAGACGACTTTCTCATAAAGGAACTAAAGGCATAAATTGTAACCGAAAAAGGATACAGAATTATGTGTGATTAAATAAGCATTTAAAATAATATTTTGATTTATCACAAAGAAATATTTAATTATAAAAAAATTATATTTAAGTCGACTACATAAACTCAACCCAGCCATTTAAATTTTTAGAGTTTTAGAAAAATGATACAATATATATAAACAAATAGTCATTTTAAAAAATGAAAATATAAGAAAATAAAATGAAAATATGAGAAAATGGAAACAAATAATATATATCTGTGTGTGTGTGTGTGTGTGACGCAAAGCCAAGGTGGGCACGTGGGCCACGGCCCACCACTGGCTTAATGGTATTATTAACATGCCCTGATCCAGCGTGAGAGGAAGTGATGGTGTGGGAGCTTTATTTAGACAAAACAAAGTTAAAACCTCTTCAACTGTACTCCCTCGATCAAGATACTTCATAAAATTTAGTAAATAATTTTTTAAGAAATATAAAAAGCAGGCCCTGTTAAAGTTGAAAAATGAATAGACTTAACTCATATTAACTCAAGTCTTTAAACTTGATTTTCTTAAAATATTTTACTTTTAAAGTCCGATCCTTATATAAAAAATTTAGGATTAGACCTGTAAACTCTTATTTTTATTTTTTATTTTTTAAAAAATTAAAATTTTTAATTATAATATTTTATATATTTTAAAAAATATAAATTATAATGTTTAAAAAATTAAAATAAATAATAAAAATTCTAATTTTAAAATATAAACAGATATTTTAAGGTTTAAATTTAGTTTTAAAAATAAAAATATTTTATTTTTTAAAGAAAAAATAAAAACGAGCGTAAAAAAGCTATCCGATCTCATTTTTTAAGGTTTATTAGGGTTGAGTTCGAAGGCCCAGTTTTTTTTTCAAAAAAATTATCTTTTAAGCTTGAACCTCTATAAAAATGAGTTCAAATGAGCAACCTTAGAAGTTTAATCTTTATTTTCGATTGTAGGTTCTATCAAGATTATCTCCTTTAATGTACGGAAAGCAAATGATAAATATTTTTTAATTAAGCTAGGACATACACAAAGTTTATAATTCTAACTCTAACTAATTGCTAAAGTGATGAGAGTTTTTGTCATCTACTCTCACTTTAATCGGTAATTTCATAAAATTCTTCATGAATTATTTAAAAAATATGTACACAATTGGTTCTTTTAGATTGTGTTTGAGTTTAAGCTGTGAAGGTAAAAATTAATAATTTTAGTTAACATCAATTTGAAATTTGAAAATTGTTACATTAAGTTGTGAATAAATCAATCAAATTTTTTAATTGATTTTAATTTAATTATATCTCTGTTATCTATTATGAAGAACAAAAATGCAAAACAGCAAGTTTGTTTTCTATTGCACGTTTTGAAAAAAAAAAAATTAAAAGTTGTCTTCAAAAACTAAAAAACTAGAATATCTTTTTGATATCTTATTATTTTTTGTTTTATAAAACTAGAGAAAAGGCAAAAAATATTATGTTTTAATCAGTGACAATTATCTTTATAAAACAAATACGTTACCTATTAAAAAATATTAGATATTTTTAGAAGGATTAGATATTCAAAAATATAATATATTTTTAATTTTTAAGATGTAATTATTACTTTTTTTTAAAGTACCCATATTAAATAAATTATTTTATATTCATTTTATAGTGAAATGTCATATTAAATAGGAATAAATCTGAAAAGATATGATTAGTTTGAAAATAGGTAACTACTTTATTGATGGAGAAATTTAATTAAAAATGCCTAACTAACTATTTTATTAGAGGAGAGATTTAATTAAAAATGCATTATATTTTTAGATGAAAAGAGTAATTATTTCACTATTTTACATATATTTTTTAGAATAATAATTGGAGGAGATATTTTTTAACTTTTTATTTTTAAAACTTGTTGTAAGAAATTTCTCTGCATAATTGTTCTAATAATACAAAAACAGAGAACAGGATCAAACAAATTATATAATTTCAAGACGAACTCAACCCCTGTGAATCAAGATTTCATTAATTAATAATTTAATTTAATAATTACAGTCATATGCTTTTTTTTAAAAAAATATAAATAATTTTTAGTCAAATTTTATCTCAATAAAATGGTCAATTATTTTTAAAATAATACTATTTTTTATATTTATTTTTATTTAATAAGATATTTTATTTTAAAATAACTATAAAATAATTTATTTATTAGGAATATTTTTAAAAAGATACAATGTTTATATTTTAAAATTTAAAATGTTAAAAATGCGTCGCATATGAAATCTTTTTAAAAATGCCTATAGGGAATAGAGAATGGACGATTGAGATGCTGAGCTTGGTTAAACCCAAAATCTGTGTGTCGCACAAAATCCTAAACACAAGATGAGGCGGTTTGAGAGGTGACGTGTCGGGGTCGGTAGCAATATGGAAGCCTCATATGTAACGTCAATGGAGTGGGCATTGCTTATCCTTCAAGCGAAAGCGACTTGCAGATCCCAAAGTGTGTATGCGAGAGATCGAGCTTAGACCGCCGACCTAAGCCATGTCCATGGTCAGCCATATTTTACGGCGGCGTATGCCTTCCTCATGCTCCGTTCTCATGAGTTAGGGTTTTTCCTTTCATCTATCCCGCCCCCCTAAACCCTTCCTCCTGCGAATCGCCTAACTCCTTTCAAAATCTTATCTTTTTGGAATATTTTTGGTAAATTATAGGTAACTCTGTGTTTTGTGTGTATTCAGGTAATTTCAGTCTCATCTTAATCCTTCCTTTTGATAGATCTCTTTTCCCCGGATCTTATTTTTCAAAAGCGCGGTTTCTAGGGTTTGGTTTTGGAACAAACTCTGGTTTTTTCACGAAATTATGGTCGTTGACTTTCATTTGGGATCTGGATCTGCTAGATCGGGGTTGATTTTTTTTTTCCTTACAGGGTTTTAAGCTGATTCAGTTGTCTTTCATCCTTTTTCTGTTAACTCTAGTGTGCTTTTGCTTGATGTTGTGAAATTTTGTGCCAATGATGTTTGGGTGGTTGACATGTTGATTTTTTTTTTTTGGTTTTTGTTAAAATTACTAGTAATTATCGATTGATCTGTTACTCGGAACTATGACTGGTTGGTGCGAGACGTTTAATCTATTATCTCGAGTAATTTGTTTATGTTATATGTATATACATATTTTGGATTATTTTTTTCTTTCCAATTTCAATTTTTGTCAAATCTTCTCCAAAAGAATTCATGTTTCAAAAGTATAGTTTCAGATCGATGATATTAAACTGTAAGGTCTTGCCGTTTTGAGCACGCAAATTAGTATTTTGTTGGGTTGTCTTCTTTTTTTCCCCTAAACAATTATTTCTGCATTAATGAACTTTTGAGCACGCAAATTAGTATTTTGTTGGTTGTCTGATTTTTCCCCCTAAACGATTATTTCTGCATAAATGAACTTTAAGTAGTTCTTTCTAGCAGTTTTATCTGAGTTGGTTGGTTTGGAAGATTCGACTTCAGTTTTATTGGCTGTCTGAGATCAAATTTGGCATCTTGATTTATCTCTTTTAGGCCTCGTTTGGTATGATAGAAGAGTTTTTGATAGAATTGTTTTTGATAGAATTGGAATCAAAATTGGAATCGGAATCAAAATTAGAATTGAATTGAGTTTTAAAAGTGTTTTTGGTATGAAGATGGAATCACAATATAATTTTAATAAGTATATGTATTTAAAATAAAAAAAATCAAAGCACCTTTTATTTTACTTTTTTAATGAAAAACTTAGCAATTGAAAAATAAAGAATGTACTTTTAAAGCTCAAAATACCCTTTATTTTTTTTTATTGACACATAAGCCAATTCTATGTTGAGTTTGTCAATTCCATGGTTTTTACAATGAAATTGGGTTCCATCAATTTTGATGGAATCAGATTCTTTCAAGAAAGCAATTCCATTCCAGCACACCAAACAAGTCAACTGGATAATTTCATGTCTGATTCCATTTCCCTACTCACAATTCTAAGATACCAAACATGGCTTAGGGTTGTTGGAAGGGGTTTCTAATGTGAATAACCTCATTGTTACTTGATTTTTTGTAGCAGCTTCGGATGAGATGAAAGTTTGAATTCTATTATAAAACTTCATAATCGGGAGCAGATCAACTTTATTTAATTAAATTGAGGTCATAGAGATGAGAAACGTGTGCGATATGAATAGTGACTGCAGTGTTCGGTATGAATTACTCATTCATTTATCTTCATTCAATGTATGCTTTTGGTTTCTTATGCATTCACTGATTAGTGAACAACTATTTTGTGTTTTAAGTACTAGTTTGGTGGCTATATTGTTTAGTCCTTCTATGATGTTGATGGCTTGGAGTTTGCATCACAGAATGAGTTCAACAATATTTCGACAAGTTTGAAACTGGTTCTCAATAATGTTAGTGCACGCACAAAAGAAATTAACTGTGAAATGATAATATTACAGCGTCTCAGGAAGATAGGAAGTGTTGGATCAAGGAGTTTGGTTTTAGTAGAAAGCTGTGCCTATGAGTTAGAAGGCCATTCCAGTCTACTAGTTATGTGATGTGGCCTGTTTTGATAAAACATGGTTTCTTACTTTTTTGCAGTGTTTCTTAAATTTAACGTTCTTTAATTTTTTTCCCCCCTCATTGTATTGGTGATAGCTGGCTTATTCAATTGTTCATTCCTTTCTGGGCTAGTCTTTATTTATCTTCATTAACTCCACTTTTATGACAGCACTTTCCTTTATATTATCTCAATAATGTTGCATGTTTTATATTTCCAGTGATGCTAGGTCATTTTTGATGTCGTGGTCTGTGCCATCACCTCCACTGTTTCTTTAAAAGTAAACAAGGTCTAGAGTTCTATTCCAGTTCTATCGGAGCTTCTAAGTTCCAGCCTGTGTATAAGAATTGATCTAGTAGATAGAAATGGAAGCAAACATCGCCAAGGAATCGGATAGACTTGTGCTTAGTCAGAAGCGGAAGCGGGCTACCCAATGTGCTGCATATCTAAGTGAAGCATCCTGTGAAGTTTCACCACACTACCCATCCATAACATTGCCAATGAAAAAGCTTGTGAAGCACAGGAGGCTGGATGGGTATAAAAATGAGCTGACAGGAAACGAGACTCATTTTAGACAATCTTTACTTAGGTGCTATTGGAACTTTAAGAAAAGTGGGAGGCCTCAACGTTTGCTGTTTTATCAGAATAATGAGTGGAATGACTACCCTCAGGATATTGTTGACCTGGTCAGGAAAGATTTTGAGGTAAAGAATGCTGCTGTGGAGATTGAGTTTGATGACCGTCAACTTGTGCTAGATTTTTTGCACATGTATCAGATGGACCTGAAAACTGGTTCACAGCAACCTATTTCCTGGATTGATGAGGCAGGGTGTTGCTTCTTTCCTGAAGTTCATGTTGCTTCTGATGATGAACCGTATGAGGGTGGGAAAATTTATGATCCTTATGAATGTAATGAGTCTTATGAATCTAATGAGATAAAGCTGCATTTAGAAATTGAAATAAATGGAGTTGGTGAATCTAACCTGAGGGAATGTAGTGGGGAATCTAATGCTCTAGTTAAGCATATTCATATCGGTGCAAAACCTGCCAGCAATCAATATGATGTAGACATCGAGGATAGCAGTAATAATCCAGATAAAGGAAATGTTGGTGAAGCTATTGAGAAAAATCTAGAGTTAGGTTTAGATAATTATACCAAATCTGTAAATGGAAAGATGGACATAAATACTGTACAGGAGTTGTTTCTTAAGGGAATGAGTAGTCTTGGAAGTACAAACATAGTTAACATATATAGCTGCTCAAGCACTTTGCTGCCAGCTCGATTGGAACTATTCCAGAAGCAAGTAGAAATTACAGAGAAGTGTCGTGGGAACGCAAATGTTCAATATGTGTGGCTTGCTTCTTCAAAAACAGAGTTGTCTACAATTATGAAGTACGGGGTTGGGCAGTCAATGCATGGCCCTGTTGTGCATCTTGCAGCTGCTAATAGCCCTCACAGCAGGTTTGGTTTTTTAATCACCGTCTTTAATCAATTGAGAGGTCAAAATACTATGAATTGTAATGGTGAACTTTTGTGGCAATTAAATTTGTTTCAAAAGATGATGAATGGGAGTGACTAACTTCCTTTATCTTATTAGGTTTTAGAGTAATCTTTGCATTTGGTTAGCAAGTCCATTTTATTGCATTTCAAAGTAATTGCTTGCCAAAATATTTACCATAATATATAGGGGGACCCCTATACTGGGTTCTATGTAACTCATTTACATGTTAACATTTTTTTATACTTCAGTTATTCCCAATTTATTGTGGTGTATATTTTGTTATTGTTAATCCTATATTTGGATTTAAAGCAAAATTAGTAATTGCCTTGTTTTCCTTATTGTCTGCGTGATCATCCGTGATTAGAGAAGTATTTAACATTGACTTACAGGGCAAGTTATTGTGATGTTGACGAAAATGGAGTACGGCACATGGTGTTATGCCGTGTAATATTGGGGAACTTGGAACTTCTTTGTCCTGGCAGTAGACAATTTCATCCCAGTAGTAATGATTATGATAGCGGGGTGGATGATATTGAGAGCCCCAAATGCTTTACAGTGTGGACTATGAACATGAATACTCACATATATCCAGAGTTTGTCGTTAGTTTCAAGGTTTCTTCTGATTTTGAAGGTGATATGTCATTTCTTTAGTTTTTATATGTCTCGTGAGGATTCAAACAGATAAGAAATTGCCCTTTTTTTGTCAGATATAATTAGATGCATACTTGGTACTTTATCAATGAGAGTCAAGTTTGCTGATAGCTAGTTATTTACAATTTACTTCTCAATTCTTTTCACATGGATTGGAAAACTTCTTTTTAATTTTCCTTAGTAGGAAATGGAACTTCATCCTTTGGGTGTTGGGTCCTGTTGATGGTTCTCTTATGGTGAAGAGATGTTTCGTCACTACAACTTGGGGGTTTCAATGAGATAGACTGCTATTTCTTCAGTCAAGCTGTTGCATGCTAATGGTTTCTGTTGAAGGCTTTCACTATTGGATCACCAACACTTGGTCTACTTATGCAGGGAAATTTTTTGAAATTGAGAGCAAGTCTAACGTATCTGGGGTTACTACTGCTACTGCTTTTCAAGGTCCTCAAGGCTCTGTACATACAGAGTCTTCTACTGTTGATATGGTAAGTGACTTGGTATTGAATCTTGCTTCTGGTGCTATGCGAAACTTTGTAGTATTGTCACCTTAAACCTTAGGTATGACAGTGAAGGCCTAAGCTCAAGTAAAAATTAAAGCTCAGCCTTTTTTCTGGGTAACAAAAAGGATTACACCAGCACCCTTTGGGGAATATAATATCAAATTTTTATTAAACACTTCTCTTGTTATTTCCTAGGACGTCATTCTTTTTCAAGACAAATTTTCATTTGGAGTTACTGGTTGTGCTTTTATAGTTTAATGACAGACACTTTTTTCTTATCAATATTGCTTTTGCTGCAAATCTTTTCCGAAGTGTTGTAGTTCCTTCGATGACTAATTGACTATTGCATTCACGTACATGTTATTTCATTTGATTTCTCTAATATGCACTGTCTGTTACTTGATTGGCGCCTTTCTCCTGTAAGTCTGTTATTCTGAACTGAATATTCTAATGATTAGCTACATGAGATGTCTCAGGGAAAGGCTGCTAGTGCATCTGCTTGTTCTTCAAGAGCTCCAAAGTCCCCTTGGATGCCATTTCCTATGCTTTTTGCTGCTATCTCTAATAAGGTTCCTCCCAAGGATATGGAGCTCATCAATATGTATTATGAGCAATTCAGGGTACGTTAAGTAGTTCGAATTGCATGCTCATTGTTATTCTGATTGAAATTTCTCTAACACGTCATTTTTTTTAAAATTATTATTGTGATCATCAGGCAAAGAAGATAGCCAGAGATGATTTTGTGAAGAAGCTGAGGGTGATAGTAGGAGATAATCTGTTGAGAACTACAATAACAAACCTTCAATGCAAGGTAGAGTTTGTATTAGAATTACTTGGCTTTGGAAACTTGCACATGGTTTTCTATGCTACGAATTAATTGAATTTGGGCCCCTGCATTGCCATGGAATCCAGTAAGGGAGATGTTGATGCAGCCAGGTGAGGCCTACAATTACATTGAGTGGAATCCACACTACTGTGTCTACATTACTCTGCAGTCTGCATGGATCCATTTCCAAGTTTATTGCTCCTAAAAGGCAATATTTGCTGTTTATCATCATTTATACCTTTTGGACGTTGTTGGGGTATCTGGGTAAATGCATCTTGGGATGGGAGATATAATTTTGATACTTCTCAACTTCTGGATCTTCAAGTAGCAGAAGGTTGTCGTTACCTTGGGCGAATTTGATACGTCTTTGGGTGATCTTTGATTGCAAAGCTGATGAGGAGTCAGAATCACTGCAATTTGTTATTGGCGAGACCTACAACTCCTGCTTTGATTCAGTACAGGGGCCAACTCTGAAAGTGGACAGATGTCCTGTGACAACAAAATCATTGATATCGGATGACAGCTGTTCTTTTAAAAAAATAAATTAACATAAATTTTATATCCCAAAACTTCTCTGCTGATGAGAAATGCTGAATTGGTTTATTCCAATTAACGGATATTGGTTTAATTCTAACTTTGTCTGTGTGTGTATGTTACAACATGTAATTGTATGAAATATAATTTTTTGACCCACTAAATATATTTATATTTTTTAAATTACTTGGTCAAAATCTCCTATTGGATTCTCATAAATTATGGAGGTTGAAATTGAAAAGTAGAAGTGATGTGTACTATCTTGTTTAACTGTGAATAATGTGTGCTCTCTTGCCTGGTATAGTTATATAATTTTTGTTGCGTAGGTAGAGCCTGAGGCCTTAACATTATCCTTGGCAGTTGTTTGATGACATTTTACATTTGAAAAACTTCATCTCCTGGTTATGATAATTGCATATTTACAAGTGAAAACCTCTTGGGGAACAGATTTTTTATTTTATCTGAACTTTGTCTGTCTCGTGTGAGAGACCCCAAATTAAGAGTTTCCCTGGCTGCATGCAGATGCCATTCAAATCATCAAGTGATTCAACTAAGAGCAACGTAACTGCAGTGAAGCCTGAGGCTGCCTCTGAATGAGAGAGGTTAGAGATCTCTGACTCTGGGATGATGTCTTTGGAGCTCTGTATCTTTTACTTCGCATTATGTGTCGACATGAAGCTGTGAATATTATGTTTGCTTGTTTCCGGACAGTAGCTTTTAGGCATGAGACGTCTTTTCTTTGCTTTCCCTGACTTTTTGTACTCGAAGTTGGTTGATACTGGGATCATTAGAGTTTATTTTGATTTGGCTGTGACAATGCATCATTTGTTTGACTTTTGCCTTAAGTATCTTGTAACTTGCAAACTCGATATTAGACATTTGCTTTTGCATTTTCTAACTAGGTTTTTAACGTTTGAATTGATCTCTCATTTTGGATAGTTGGGGTCAACTAAATATATCACTATATATAAATTTCTTTGCCCTTGCACGTGAAACTCGCAAGATTTTCTTGTTTTTCACATGGTTATTAACATTAACATTTTTCTTATTCCACGTGTCTTGCGCCTTGGATCAGCCAGCAACGGTTGCTTTAACAAATGAGTCAGATGACGTTATTTTCTGTGACCTGTTTTCTCCTCCCGTTTACGGAGTTGTTCTTTGTTGTGCATGTTTAGAAGCTGAACATGTCCATTTGTCAGGAACTTGATATGATGAAAACGCACGTGTTTATTAGTGGAACTGGTTTTCAATGTCGTTTTAAAGTCGAGCAATTGTGCTGCTAGTGTCGCAGACAGAATTTTTAACTGTTAAAATTTGACGAACAATTGAGTTGTATCACTCGAGTCTTTTTTCGAGAAGGAATTCGAATGTCTGGAGTTTCAATTAATTTCAGAAAGATGCGCCCTAGTTTATCGTGTAGATTACTAGATTTATCGATGTATTGGATAAAGTAAATTATTAATAACTAGTAACGATGGAGTGCAGTGAGGGTGTTTCTTTTTTATGTTTTTGGGGGGTGGGTAGCCAGGCTACGGCTTCTCCTATGCTTTTTTTTTTTTTTTTTTTTTAAAGTGAAATGCAGGAGTAATGTATATTTGGCCTTTTAAGTTGATACTTTATGGGAAGTTTGGCCGTTGGCACTTTATAGAAGTTTTGTGAGGCTAGGAGGAATTGTCATTATAATTTTATATATATTGTTTTACGTATGTTTGTAATAATTATTTTAATAATTTGAAGATATAGTTGTTATAATTTTTTTTATAAAAAAATTTATTTATTTTTAACAAGATAAAGTTAATGTTATGTATGGATTTAAAATAATGATATTATTTTATTTCAGTTTTATTTTTATATTTGATGAAAGAAATTTTAAAAACTATAATTAATAAATTTTGTGAAGCATTGTTGTAAAGATTTTAAGATATATTAAATATTGTGTGTTTGATGTATATTATAGAATTATTTATTTAAAAATAAAGATTTTAAGATATGTTAAATGTTGTGTGCTTAATATATATTGTAGAATTATTTATTTAAAAGTTAAAAGATTTGGTTAAATTTTTTTTTGAAGTTACTTTTTTTTTAATAATCAAGTGATTAAAATTTATGATATAAATGGTTTATTATGATATAATTTGATCTCATCAATATAAAAATTTTATAATTGAGCATTATTATTGTATAAATATATTTATTTATTTTGATTATTAATTGAAAGAATTAGGTATTAAATTCAATATAAAAGTTATTTTGTTGAATAGAATTTTAGATTTTACTAATATATTTAAAACATTTAATGTTTGTAGGGAAGATAAAATTTTAATTAATTTAATGATAATTGATATTGAAAGAAAAATTGTTAAAACGTTTATTATAGACATAATAATTAATGATTTTTATATCATAAAAAATTGATGAGCAAAATTTAAATTTAAAGTGTGTGTATATATATATATATTGTAATATATGTATAAAATTGAAAATGTTAAAATGTTTATATTATAACTATGATATATAGATTTAATATTTATTTAATTACTATATGTACTTTGCTTTCTTTTTTTTTTTTAATAAAAATTTCTGGCGTCGTCTTTGAGTGCAGTTAAACTGAGTTGCCTAGCATCTGAAGCCACTTGTTATCCATTCATGCATGTTGCTCCAGTAATCTTAATGATCCGCCCCACAAAAGTTTTCTACGTAATCTTTGGTAAAGCTTGGATCATTGATTCGACTTGTTTTCTTCCACGTTTTGTTTCGTTTTTCGTTTTATTTGAGATTTTTGGTCCGCATGTTCACAATACGAAGCAAAACAAAGATAATAATAAATGACCCAAAACATTCCTATGACATCTGGTTCTAGTAAAATGATTTTTTTTTTGAAGGATTTTATGCCATGTCTTTGTCGGGAGAAAAATATTGGAAGTGTTGCAACATTAAGGAGGTTGTTTCGAATTTTCATTTTACCTTTTGCCAAACACCTACCATTAATCTATATGCTAAATACATGATAGATAATATAACTGCAATGAAAAATATTGCAAAAATAAGGAGTGCAAGTAACAGTCCCATTTGGAAGTCACCAACGGTATGTCAATTTTCTTCAGATCGATAAGGTCCATATGATTAAAAAAACACTTTGACATTGTAATCTTTTCTCTCGAATGCTCGTTAGTTTCTGTTCTGAACACTAAAATGCTTAGATATTTTAACGGAAAAAATTCATATACTTAAATACTTGTCATTAGTTAAATCAAGATACATGTGATTTTTATATTATTTAAACTATAATAAATTTTTGTTATTAATACTATCAACATCTTAAGATTTACATATTGATTTGATTGAATAAAAATATATTAAATATATAGAATTAAGTATATAAGTTTTGTCTTATTTTTATCTTCTCAAGACTATACACATAAGTGGATATAGGTGAGTTTTAGTAAGTCCATTGGACTGGTTGTGTACCCATGCGTCTTAATTAGGAAACCAAGTATGACTATGAAATAAGGTAATTATTGGTAGGATGAACATCTTAATCATTTTATTGTGTCAATGTATAATATGTTTTGATTTGTATATAGTACTATATATAAACGATAATTGGTATTGTTCACAAAATCACATCAAGCAACAATACTGTATGATATTAGGTATTTATTTTTATATTTTTTTAACCATCCATAGAATTATTGATGTACTTTTTAGAACTTCCAAATTCTGTCAGCAATGCATGGAGCAAATAATTTTTTTATCAAATTATTTCTAGTTAAAAGTCGGTAGTGTATGTGCATCGAAGTCATAGGAAATACAGAAGATTTGGTAGCTTGTATTAAAAACAAAAAACAAAAAGGCAGACTTGACCAGTGCAATGAATAAATTGATAAAATAAATTAGACTATTCATAAAAACTATTTAGAAATATATGATATGCAAATAATTGAGGGACAAAGGGGACTTTGATGTCCCTTTGTTTGGCATGCAAAATAAGCGATCAATTTCATCCTCTAAGGATCTTGCATAGAAATTCTTTACTTATTCTTCTAGTTAACTAAGTTGTTTTGATCAATGCAAATAATTTTAAGCATAAATCTCTGTGAAGGGACATGCTTCTTGCCCAGATTGGAAAACTGATCTATTTGTTGCTAATTATAATGCTTTTTTGCCAAACTTGGAATCTGTCTTGTGTTACTTGTTCTTGTAATCTGGTTGTAAGGGATGAGCTCTTTACGTTAGGATACTTGTCCCCCATTTTTTTTTTTTTGAAACAACCAATTTAATCACACATAACTTATACAATCAAGTGTCAAAACAAGATTTGAACCCTAAACTTTATGCTCACAAAAAGGTGGCGTTACTTGCAGGTTAAAACCCCTCCCCTCTTTTTGAAAATAACGTAATAGCAAATTAAAAAAAAAGATTTAAAGAATATTCTATAATCGAGAAAGGATAAAATTTATATACTTAATTTTATATACTTAATGTACTAATATCCAATCAAATCATGACCTGTGGATCTTAATATATTAGTTTAATCAATAATGGAGAATTTATTATAGAATAAATAATTTATAAAAAATTCACATGTAATGATATCATGATTTAATTATATACAAACACCTTAAATATATAATATTAAGTATATAAGTTTTCTCTATCAAGAAAATAAATAGCAATAGTCTTGGTCATTATATTAATATGTTATATTTGTTCCTTATTTTGATAACTTTTAAGCATAAATGAAATTTAATTACTATAATTATGACACTCATTGAGTGAGTGAATTTATACCACTTATCGAATACAAATACAAATTCAATCCATGGTCTCACCTTCAAAATCTTCAGCAAAATGCTTGTGATACATTTTAAATTCAAATGAGTAAATCGAACTGCACTGCAATCAACAAAATGACACTATTTTTGGCCAAAAATAAAAAATAAAATGAAAACATCGAAGGAGGGAAAATTGGGTTGATGAAGGTGGGTGGAAGCTTTTCCAGAGCTTGACTTGTTTGTGAAAGCCACAAATTTTCCAGATTGATTGAATTCCTTCAGAGACTTTGTAGGACCATCCATCTGTCTCCTGCAATTATTTCTTCCTTTTCCCTAAAGAGAATAAATTTGTTGATTTTTGTGGAGAGTGAACCAAACCCTAAAAGAAAAATTATGTCAGATTCAGTGAAGGGAACAAAGCCTTAATTTATGTTAATGCTTTCTTGTCAATAAATTTCACTATACATATATATATATATATGTGTGTGTGTGTGTGAACCTGGGATATGATGCACACTATATTTAATTCATATTTGATTCATCAATTAAAATTTCCCAAAACAAAAATATTTAAAAAAAAGTTGGTAAACTTGTATATCTCTCTAAAAGGGGGGGAAAATACAAAAGATTCACTTGCATGATCACACTTGCACCACCTTCATCCATTAATTTTCATAAATATTTATTCAGTGTGCGTGTGTATGGGGATGAAAAAAGTTGGAATAATTGAAATAAAAAAAGATTAAAAGAAGCTTTTACTACTTTTGAAGTCTTTAACGTGTGGGGTTGAATCAAGGAAATAGGCAAGAAAGGAATTTGGAAGAGAATATCATTGAGCTCATGTGCCTTGTATGATCCAATTAAATGTACTTTTGATTTATATTTGTTGAGGAATAAAATATTTTTGATTCAGATTTTATCCCTAGCGTTGTCTGAAAAGGTTTGTCCAACGGAAATTTCATGATAGAATTACTTGGCTAGCATTATAACAAAGGAAACACAAGTATGAAATTGACTTTAATGAGGACGATATATTGAATTTTATCTTAAAAATAATAATTAGTATTAAGTGGCGTTACATATATGCTTCGAATATTTTAAATGGCATTTGGGAGAAGGAATTAGAGTAATGAATGGGAGAAA